TTGGCGGCTCTCTGGGCTGGGTTCACCATATGCGCTCTAGATGCCATGTTATGGTGCTTGGCCCTTGGTCTGTTAAACGGCATTCATTCGTTGATACTCGCCTGTCGATTCCTGCCTCCGGCTCTTAGCCCCGAACTAGCCGAACTTTATTTGAAGCTCTTTAAGCCTTATAAGGTTAGCAAGAAGCATTTCCAGGAACTGGCAAAGGAAGCGAGAATACTCAAGTTGGATTCCGATCAGACCTACGCAACGGAAGGGGTCACGCCGGCGGATAGGAGGCTGTCTATTCTTTTACGTGGAAAGTGGGTCTTCTTTTCAGTTAAAAGTTAATTCTTTTAAACTAGAGGTGTCATTTCTTGTGAAAGAAGGCTAATCTTAATTGAAATTAAAAGCTAATTGAAATTGAATTAATACAGATGCCTTTTATCTTATATTTGCTTTCATGAAATTAATATTGAGAAATATAATTTTAAAACTTTCATGTCCTTCATTCAATCTTTTTTCATATATTGCATTAATTTATTATTGGAGAAAATTTTATTAAGCGTTGTCTGGCTTAAGGGTATTGCATGCAATTTCGATGTCCGAGTTTCTTCTCTTATTTCAGAATGAAGGTAACTTGTGACGGAACTCACTTGCACTACATCAGAGCCTACCAATTCGTCGACTCGCCCGAATGGGAGGCCACGCATGAAAACGATGCCGACGTCTTCCAGGTGACGATACTAGCCGAGGAGCCCAGTACGTATATCTGTTGGACGAGAATGAAGTTACTCAGGGTGCTCCGGCATAGGCCATTGCTCAAGGTCGTTCTCAACACTCTCATCGGTAAGGACATTACGTCCAAGTTGTATGCCCTTAACGAGCAGCTCGCTGGTGTCGCGGCCGCCAGTGAGAACGCCACGTCGAATCCTTACAGGGGGGTCACGAGAAGCCTCAGCGTCGATGCCGTTAATACAGAAACCGCCGGAAGGGTTCGATCGACGACCTGGAAAGCGCAGAAACAGTATAGCAATTTGCGTAGTGACAGTAAGTGTCGCAACTTATTTCTCTTTTCCTTGATGATTCAAGCAACAGTTTCTTAATTCTACATAGACTTTATATTATCCTAGACATTTAGATCCTGATAATTAATCTCTTATATTACGAAGATACAAAGAACGTGTTTATCGTAATTTTATATTTCGCTTTGTGTAATTTAATCCATCATCTACGTCAGGACCTTCATAATTCGATTTACGTAATCGGTCATACAAGCAACATATTCGCTCGTGTGTGACAAATTGGACATTATAAAAAGGCTAATCTTTAAAGGCTAACCAAGATAATTGTGTGTCCCCAGGGAGTTCTTTGGCCCGGTATTCCCACCAGTACTGGGCGCCGGTAGTGGCGAACCATTTTCCGCCAACCTCGCCATTCATTCAAAGCCAAAACCTCGGCTACTCGTTACTGCCGCAGGGTGACCAGTTCTCGCCACCTCCGCGAGCACCCGTGCTGACCCACCACCCTCCCGTGGCGCGGCAGCGAAGCGGGGATACTGGCGGCGATTACACCCTGCTACCTCAAACACCGAAGCTCGAGAGGAAACGTTCGAGAAAAGGGACTCGAGAGGTACGTTGATTTCATTCATTAACTTCGTTACGTTGACTTCATTATAGAGATACGATAGAGGATCGAGTGCCATCCCGTGGTGCGGAAAATGTAGCAGCTATTTTTAAATCAAATAAAACGTGATACAGACGAATTTTAAAAGCGAACTAACAAAAAAGAGTGCATTTTAGAGCGATGTCTTTATGCTTCATTTTTTTTCTGGATTTAATCGTCATTTTATTTACGTTTTTTAGATTTAATATCAAATATTATGATGATTAAAATAAAATTTCGTATGTAATTTCCTTATTTAATAAGTAATTTTCTATGCTTTCTATATATAATGACCTATTGTATTGCTTGGGAGAGAACATATTTCTTATCGCCATCATTAGCGCTTCCTCTTTCCAAACAATCAAACTGTAGTATACTTGTGTTTCTACAAATAAGTTTATGCTATTCTGATTGCTGTCCGAATATACTTTGGACCCCAATCTATCACAAATACATCAAGATATTTAGATTCTCCTTTAGCAAACCTAAATTGTCTAGTACCTATACTTTAATGCATCGTATTAGAGATGTAATTACAGTTTCTAACATTAAACGATGTAATTACACTGTTTTATATGTATTAAACTGTAGACATTTCTCCGTACATTTGCGCTTACCGAGGTTTTCGCCGATCTAAAGATAGCAGACCGTAATCCATTTTAACAACTTTAACAGCTTGATAAACAGATATCTAACATACGTGCACGTGTAAGATACGATTTAATCTTCCGAAACTGATGATGAGTCTATTGGACCTACTTAATTATATTCTTTATGTAGGGAAGTAATTAGTTATTTGTAACGTTACGATTACAAATTACTTTTGAAAATCAGTAACTAGTAACGATAATAATTAATTACTTAGTTTTTGAAGTCCGGTTTTTCATTATCTAGTTAACTTGTGGTTAAGCTTAACCTGACGTTTTACCCAATGGACTTCATTTATAACATCATCATAGAAGAAACTCATTAGATAAAACATCAAATTAATCACAAATTAATCAAATAATGGAAAACTATGTCGGTAACCAGACTTGGTAACGAGTAACTAGTCACTTTAAAAAAAATAATTCTATTCTCCGTCTTTATGTTACATCTGTAAATGTGAATTATTAAATGTGTTACTAAAATAAACTTAGTATTATAACTAAACTAGTATTATACACACACACACACACACACATTCTTTTTTATACGAGTAATTTTAATTTCTTCGAAATTAATTAGTGCTTTTTAGTTAACATAATATAAATTAAGTAGATCTCACAGATCCAACACTAATAATTGCGTATTTTGACGTCATCTCCGGAGAGTTAATATTACTTAAATATTTTCTGATATTCTTAAATAAAATTCTTTGTTTTTGTATTTGACTTGTCAACTGATATTATTTGTTATCATTTTGAAAGAAATCTTGTCACCTCCAAATAGATCAAAATAGATCTTTTAAGCTTCTTCCTGCAGGGAGAAAATTAAATTAATTGTTTAATATTTTTTTATTCTAACTTTATCATAAATTATAAAATAAATGTTCCAGGTGACCTTCGAGACACCGGTATGACGCTCGCCCGACGGGGAAGGGCCTGCCAGCGTGCCTCTACTTTCACTGTCGCCGCAACGCTCCGCCTAGCCCCGTCGTGGTCTTGTCATCATCATAAAGCACGCCGCAAAACTCACCCTTTGAACTTCCGGTGGACACGATACCGATGAATGGCCTATTTCCTCGGAAGAGAGAACGCAACGGTCTTGGTACCGCATGGATTATGCTTCGGTACCACGAAGATTCTTGGTACCACAAAATCGCAAGAGCGCTGGTGGAAGAAGTCGTTGGGCGTAGTTTTGACGTGTGCAATTGATTTTCATATCTTGCAAGTGCCACGCCTTACAGAGACACGCACGCACGTGTGAAATCGAAACCGCGATGGCGGCCGTTAAAAATAAAAAAAATATTCCGATATCCTTCGATCACGTTTGGGGTATCCATCAAAGTTTCGAGAGATGAATCGAAATTCGATCGTGTGGTGGAGATGAATGTGAATCGTTCATTCATTGACGTGAAAAGTAAGAATAAAGGAGAGAGAAATCGTAAACAAAAGATTAAATATAGATTATATTATATTAATGAGCATCGCCTCTGTGTACACTTTTACATCGACTGTGATTACAACGGATATAATTATTAAGTCTTTCAGAGAAACGCTGATTATATACACATACAAGAAAAACACGTGCGTAAATAGCTGCCGTGGTAACCATACACGCATATCTCGCATTTGCGCGAGTTAGGATATCCTTCGCGCATAACGATTTTGATATATATACATTTGCATTAAAAAAAAAATCCTAATTCTACAGATTTTTTTTTTCATCCTATTCTCTTATCAATGATTCCAAGCAAACGCCAGTTATTCATTTATACATAAGCAATAATCGGTAAATCGCTTAATCTATGAATTAAATAGTATTTTGCATTAATGTAAAAATACATCAATATAAAAATAATATTTGATTGCTATGTATTATTAATGAAGGACATCCAAACAGCGTAAACAAGTCGGGATTGTTGTATAAAATTAGTGCATAAAATGCGCATTCACGATAAATATAATATTTCGAGAAAACACGCAGCAATTTGTGAACAGAAAATTGCATTTGCACATTCCTTAATCAATTGTAAAATAAATAAACAGAAAAAAATAAAGATGAAATGAAAAAACCAGCCGAATGATCCGGGTGTAATAAAAACAGATAAGTGCTTTGTTAAAAAAAAAAAAAAAAAAAAGAAACCTGCAATAAAGTGCTTCGAAAATCGTAGTTAATGGCGAGATGCAAATTATAAAAAGCAAAGTTTAATTATTCGCGCAGATTAAACGAAAGAAAAGCTAATATGCGTCGTGTGTGACACGTAGAAGAAAAAAAACATGTGTGTTTGTATGTTTCTATGTTTATATAATCACCGCGTGTGAGAGTGAAGCCGTAGAAGATCAATAAAGACGCACAAACGATTAAACAAAAAAACGTAAATGGAATAAAATTAATAAAAACGGCTGTGTAGAATCAAGTGTAAATGTTAAACACAAAAATGGTTGTAGAATATTGTAACGTTACGAAGGATTGTATGAAGTTTTAAGAGGCGCACACGTCGGAAAAGATCATCATTGTTTAAAGTAAAATTTATTTTTACCAAATTAGATTGTTGTAGTATTCTGTCATTATGTAATTGTTTTCGCGAAAATTGAATTTATATATATATATACAATGTGTAACATATATAGAAACTTTATACATTTGTAATAATCAAAATTTGAAGAAGACTGAGTTACTATAACTTTGTTAATTCTTATAATATTTGCTGTAATATTTAAAATTTTATTAATATTAGATTTGTTAAATTACTTTTAGAATTAATTTTAGAACTCTCTAAATTGCGCATACAGAAAATTCTTATGTTTGCAAGACTGTTCTATTTTCCGACGTAGACAAGAGCCTAAAGAAAGAATCTGTTTGAGTGATCTTTGTTGACGTTATGTCAAGAAAATAAATGAAATCGCGTAAGATGAACTGCAGCAGCGACACATCAACATCACGACGACATTGTATGTAATTATTATTTATGATTACAGTATGTTCGTTGACTATTACGTTAGAAATAAAAATTACGTTGAAAAACGTGTAGTATAATTAAGTATAATGCCAAATCATCCTGCTTCTAATTTCCATTTTCTTCGTTATCCTTGCCATTATTACATGATGATGGGATAATTTCAGAATTGTAATTTTTTAATCCTAAATTGTAATTAATAAGATAAATATTTAATCGCAAGAAATAACTTATACTAAATCTTATACTAAATAGAAATTATAAAAATAAGGTACAATCCTAATAAATAAAACATAATTTTTAAATATTTCCAGGTCAATATCGACTATATGCATGTTGGCATATATTTATAAATAAACACAATCTCAAACGCGAAAAGTTAATATGTAAAATATGTCAAACATAACGAGTAAATATCAGATATAAATATCGAAACAGAAACTCAACTCTATGAATTTTTTATATTGTTAGTTTTAGAATTTATTAATCAAAATTTAATTATTATATATCTTACAACACAAAAATCATTAGTCGTTATTGACTTTAATTTGAATTTCTTAGTTATTTTAACTTGTACACTTTTACCTCATCATCATCATCATCATAATCATTATTTTGCGGAGGGTCTATGATATGCTTTCGCTGATAGAAATCATATTTCTTTTTTTCGCTTTTATGCGGAAGTTGTATGACTATAACAAAAGGTTTATCTTGGTCAGATGTATCTAACGCATCCTCATGATACGGTGCATATCTGCATGTAAAAATAATTAAAAAATATATATATATTAAATATGCATAATATTAAATATAATACAAGCAGTTTAATGGGAGAAATAAATTTTTAAGATATTTAATAAAAATAAAAAATTTTTAAAGATTTTCAATTTTTACCTGTGATAGTCTGGTTCATAACGATGATACTTGTTCGCTAATATTCTTTTGGGATGATAATGTTTTCGATGTTTTGGAAACGAATGCCATCGTGGGCGTTGCCATGGAGGAGGATTATAATATGAATATGGCTTAATTTTGTAGGTTTCATTAAATTCCACTAATTCCATAATTAAGCCAAAGAACACGATAACCGTAGGTAACTAAAAGTTATTATCAACACATCATAATTAATATTACATTAATTTTTGCGAAAGAAAATGTTTAATTTTTAAATATTAATTAACTCACCTTCATTTTCATAATATAAAATTTAATTTTTTATAATTGTACTTTCAAGGCATCCAATTTACTTTAATTAAATTATTGATTAAATAAATACATTAGAGTGGCATTTTCTAGATACACCTTTTCCATTTTAATGCTAATATTCTTTTCCACAAATTGGTAAAGAAATATTTATTTATCACTATTTGTTAATTCATCACTTTATCTAAAATAATGATTTTAACTTTTACTTTAAACATCTCAATAGCTTTACAATGAACAATTGTGTATTGCATATATAAAACGTAAAATTAACAGATATTAAGAGTCTTCGATTGTAGATTTTATATATATATATAAATATATACATATATATCACTTTATTTCAGAAACAGGACACATTATCTCGCTAAGATTTTTGACGAAAAGAAACGCTCGTGTAGATAAAACCTTCATGGATCGAAATGAAACTATGAACTTGAAAGTCTTCGAGCAGACTTTCTTTTATACCTTCCCTTCCATTTCTCTCGAACCGCCTAAAGCAACATATGTATAATGACTCATAAATGTCATCGTAATGCTACAACTGAAATTATTACAATTTATTCTTCAATGAAGAAAAGTTTCACTAAGGGAAATGTACACTCACAAATAAACAGACAAACAAATAAGAAATTATTTGGCAAAAGATTGTATGTATCTAATATATAGCATAATAGAAAGTTATACAATAATTCAAGAAATAAGGAATGTATTCAAGTAAGAATCACATTTCATTCGTGTGATTCACATTGTGCAAATTAGATACTTTCTTTGTGATCTAAATTTATAAGAAATATTAATATAATATTTCTTATAATCTTGTAAACACATACATTCATACATTTGAAGTATGCAAGAATATTAGCAGCAATTAAGTAGCAAGTTTTTCAAATAATTTCAAATGCGACATTAAATATCTTAACATATTAAACTTGATTATTATATAAAAAAATAATTTTAGAAAAAGTTTCACAAATTTATGCTTTGATCAATATAAATTAACATTAAATTTTGTTTATTAATAACTATCATAATATTCATTTTAAATAAACATATAGCATTAAATTTTATAAAAGCGATAATATAGAAAAGATGTTTGTGCTAAAAAATTGCAGTAACAATTGATGAGCCGTAGATCCAGTGCGGCGTAGTGAAAAGTGAACGGAGGCATCATAAAGATACTTTCAAGATACTTTCAACAAGGAACGCATGCTAATGCGTACGTGCATTTGCTTTCAAAGATTTCTTTAGGAAGTACTCATTCTTTTGAATGATGTTGCTGTTATATTGTTTATTTCATCAATCTAGTCGTAGTCGAGATTCTGAGAGCTATTAGAACTTTCTCTTTTTAATTATAAAGGAAGCGATGATCATATATATAATTACTTAAAATAAATTTAAAAACATGTTAATATATTTTACAGATTTTTATTCAATCCCTGGAAGATTTTAGAACGTAACTGTAACATTACGAAATGTATTGTTACAATTGCATTTATAATTGCATTAACATAAATTCGCACGCGACCAGTAGAAGTACAACGAATATATTTTATTATTACATATTATTGTTTCCTACTATGTTGTACTGAATAATAATTACGGTTTTCATCACAGCTTATAATAAATTGTAACAAGGTTGCTTATTGAAGTAATAATTATCTATAATTAATCGCTTAAATGAATACATTATTTTAAGAAGATATATTTTCGTATAAAAGCGCATTGCGTATAAATGTGTAAATAAGTGTACAATTAAATAAGTTAAAGCTAACAATGCCTTTTAAGTATACACGTAGAGTTAATTTCTTATTATATATTTTCTCTATAACTTCACAATTAGGTCTAGAATATCTCTCTCTCTCTCTCTCTCTCTCTCTCTCTCTCTTTGCGCTTCGAAGAATATATGAACATTAAACTTGTATTCGCATATATGTACTTTTATCTTCTTAGCACTTATGGTAATATAAATGTTACTATATCTTAAAATACTCAGCTTAAATGATAAAAAACAATTTTTAAAAAGTGTAAAAATGCATAAAAAGTCATTCTATATAATTTTTTTCAATAATTACATATTAGTAGCAACTATACATGTAGTAAATTGTTGGTTTATAAAATTTTAATTACAAATTTAATTAATAATTTTAATTACAAATTGGAAGGTTAATTAAAGTAATTAAAAAGTGTGAGATATAAAAATGGAAATAATATAACAATAACAAAAAAATCTCAGGAATGCAAAACATGACTCAGAAAAAAATGATTTGAATCTATTTTTAATTATCTAATAATCGCTACGATGATTAACAGTTGACCATTACCATTAATAATATTACTGTACGTTTTATTTTATTTTATGATAGCACTTGAATACTTTCTATAAGCGATAATTGCATCGTCACTTTGTATGCGCCGATCGAACTTTTTAGAAGAGTAAATTAGATTTTTAAATCAATTACATAATAATTCAAAATTTATCGTTGTCGACACATGCACATTTTCTATTTATCATGTCTACTTCTAAAAAATATTTTGGTAAAAATATTTTATAGTAAAAAATATCTCGGCGCTTTCTTCATTATAATCCAAGCTAATTATCAGTTGAACACTATAAATAACTAAACCATAACTGAATTATATCGAAGCTGATTAAACAATGATTAGACAATGTTCCGATTTAGCGAATTATACAATGTTCTAATATAGCATTAGGACTAATTGCATGATTGATATGATTGTACACTACACATTTGTCTCTTGGAGCTCCGTACAGTCAGTGGGCTTGATCTCCAACCACCAATCGTTAGGATAATGATACTTCTGTAATTCTATGCCTTCTCGTGGCACGGGCATCAATCGGCCGCCGAATTGTTTCGCCGGTAGAGGAGGTATCACTAATTGTGGTGGAAAACACTGTAGACTCGGCGAGAACTCGCAGTCTGGAGGCAGGACCCTTCTGGTCCAGCCGACTCTTCTCACCATCTGCGTCTGCAAGTATCAACATCATTGAATTTTTTAAGGTGTTAGTGATGCCTCTACATTTTTTCCTTCTTTTTGGATTAGTTTTAAAACTTTCCATCTTAAAGCAGAATATTTTTAAAGATGATTGTGATATTCTCAGTGACACATATATGTTTCGTAAATCCAGGAAATTTAAGATGGATTTGATGGCCTTGTCGGCGAATCCGGCAATTCGGATCGTAATACCTACAAATAAGAGGCAATAAAACTGCATTCGCCAATTTATGGACAAACCGACGCTACCAAAGGAGTTGTCTTCACTTGTTCTATATACGTGATGCGCTTTTAAAATCCACGGAAATCGTATATTTCTAGAATTTTCTTCAATGCTCCATAAAAATATAAAGGCAACAAGACACAAAGCGTCGAATTTGCATTTGCGTGCTAGATACATAAAACGAAATTTTACTGAGTACAAATACTGTTCTTGATGTAAAAGCAAGGAAGAGTTGAAGTTGTAAACTAGTATTTACAGTGACAATAAATCTGATATAAATACGAAGCACTTAAAGGAAATATTAACAAAACGAGTAGTTTTATCTGTTTGATTTTATGTCTTATGTGAAAACGTATTCTTTAAAAATTGTTATTATTTAAATTTTACAGATACAATTAAAAAATGTTTAATATAAAGTCCATTTTAAACAAAAAAATTTGTTTAAAAAACTTAATTACCACTGCGTCTTCCTCGAAAACAACCACTTCCACTTTAGGTGCATCTTCGCCGACTTCGTGTTCCTGTATCCTGTAAATTCCCGCTGCGTGAAGATAAGTTGCACTCAAACCGACTTCTCGGAAGGCTTTTGTGATTAAGACATCGTCGCGAAGCGTGTCGACCAAGCATAGTTCCACTTTACGTGCCCATGGCAGTGCGCGGCCTATTCGAACTTGACCCCAAAGGCCGCCCAGGCAAAGAAAGTGGACGATGCCTAACTTAGTGAGGACCAAATGAGCCCTGGAGAAATTATAGAAATTATATATGTTTTGATAATAAATTATTGTACAAACTAAACTATTACAGATACTCTACGCATTAAAAATCAAAGAGAGACATTTTCTAAAAATCTAATTAAATTTAATTTAAAATTCTAATTAAAAAGCATTTTATCAATTATATCAGTTACATTTTATGACTTAAAAAACATCTAAATGAAAATAGAACTTATGATTCAGAGGGAGAGATAAAGAAATTAAATATAATTATAAACTATCATAAATAAATGTCTAATATTTATTGTATTTAATTTTCCTTAGATCGTTATTTAAATATCACATAATTTAAATACTGACCTGTAAGCGAGATCATGTAATTTCTCAGTAAATTCTTCGGGCACGCTACATGGCTGCTGCGGAATTTCTTGCCGACTGAGGCTATACCAGAACAGCACAATCATCAGGAAGAATGCCGCCAGAGCTCGCATAGGAGTGATGCGAAAGCGTCTCCGTGAACAGAGACTCATGTTGATGTTCTGGAAATCAAGGAATTCGATCGAAAATCTTTACCTTTTTTCTGAACGCTATACAAACCAATTATACAACTGAAATGTATTCTTTTATTTCAAATTTCGAGATATTTTACTTATCAAAGAAAACGATAAGAAAATTTCAACCATTAATTCTTTTAGATATATAGATCTGCAAATTATTGTATTCTGCCTTTTCCTTTCATTCTGAAATTTTTTTTTAAACGAGTCATTGCATTCTAAATTTTTTTATACGTCTTTGACATGTTCAAATCCTTATTTTTAATTTAAAATATAAATTTTTTATTTAAAAAATCAATAATATCTATTAATTTTATTTGTTCAATTTTTATATTCTTTCCGATTGTTTTTATTTTCAATTTTGTTTAAAACTTCGTTTTTTTAAATCCTCAAGTTTAATTTTATGTTTTTTATTCTTCAAATTTAGCAATAAAAAGTCTGCTAAAAATAAAGTCCAATATATACCATTTCACTGTTTAACTGTAATGATTTAAATATTCATTAACCAATTTGTGTATCGTGTTTAGTGTAAATTCTAAAAAGATTTTCAGGAAAGACTCACGTTCCCTAAGGAGCATGCATGATATTAACAACACTTGTCTCTCGGAGACGACACTCGTCTCATGCACTCTGAACACAAGGAAGGAAAAAAACCAACGACTCGAAATTACGTACTCGCGATGTACGACGTAGTCATGACCCACGTGTGATCAGACTTTCTTGAATTTTTCCTTTGCTTTTTTCTCACCCCCCGTGACGAAAACCACTTTCTCATAAAGACTCCGACACTCAACCCTTGACGAGTTCGACATGGCAACGTTGCGAAATATTGATTTTTCTGCTCTACCGACAGTTTTCTCAGACATAGTTTTGTCAAAACAAATATAAGATAAGAACTTGAAGAAATAAGAAGTAAGAAATAGATTATTTTATTAATAATAATATAATTTTTATTTTTATTTATAATTATACAAAATCTGTATCTTATTTATAATTATACAAAAATTTTAAATTGGTTTTACAAATTTGTAATTTTTAAGATTAAAGAGCAACTATTTATAAAAATCTTGCAGTATTTTTTGTATTATCAATAGTTTCGTAAAGAATGTTTTTTAAAGATATAAGATGACAGATGTGATTTCATAGACTTTCAAAAGATAATTTGTAAAACCAATTTAAAATTTTAATTTGATTATTATTATATATATAATTGATAAAAACTGATAAACAATTTTGGGGAAAAAATTCAATATTTGTCAATATTATTCCAAAAAATAATGTAAGAACATCATTTACAGATCCCTATATTATTAACGGATATCTTGTAGATGATAATCCCTTCGAAATAAATACACACTGTATTAATAAAATGTTAGTATAATTTTTAAAATATTAACTTCTTTATAATTTAATAAATTTTAATTTTTTATTGTAATGAAAAGTTTATAAGAATCTATTATTTACAAATAAAAGAATATTAAATTATAACATTAATTCTATCTTATCGATTTGTGGTATATGAGTTATTTTAGTTCTAAATATGATCGATTGTTAATATCAGTGGAATATTTTGAATATTTCCAAAAAAATATTTAAAATGTAGAAGAATGCATATTAGCAACTTTTATAAACACAAATATATTTAATGTAGAAATAAAACATAGAATAAAAAATTTATTTTTACATTAAATATATTTGTGTTAACAAAAGTTGCTAATATGTATTCTTCTACTTTTTGAATATTTTTTTGAAAATATCTAAAATATTCTACTGCTATTTTTTGCGACTCATAATCAAATTTATATTTATATATAACCTTCTATGTTACATAAATTTTCTTTTGCTTGGAAAGTGCTACATCTATTAATAAATTTAGCTGTGTTAAAATTATCATTAAAATTATATATACTAATTATATATATCAAAATTACATATAAGAATCTTTGACTTAAAAAGGTCGATATCTCGACTTATAATAGTTTTACGATAAAGCTTCTCTTATTAAATTAAAGATGAAAATTATGAACAAATAAAGCTATTAACAAAACAAATAAAGATGCGTGACACACAGTAAATTAATATAATAAATAAATATTAATAGCAATATTAAATTAACAAAATAATTACAATTAACAGCTTTATCAATCTGTTATATTAATAACAGAAAGATTTTACAAATATTTTACTACTTTATTAGTTTATTAAATATTTTATTAATTTTTAATTAAACTTCTACATAAAGTTCATGTTAAATAATGTAATATCAATACATTATGATTTTTTATAATATTGTAATATTGTAAGGTGAAGTTTTTGCAAAGAGATAGAATTACCTAAACTTAAACAGATCTTAAATTATTTCTTTCTTCAAGTTAATTTATAATAACATCATAATAACGGGGTAAGATTATCCTTTACAAGAAATATCCTGCTTGAGCTGAATTCGGAACCAAAAGAGACGTGTAGATTATGAAAAGCGCGGGAGACAAACGAGCGACGGAAGCGAAACGTGAAATTAACGAGCAAAAATAAACGTTTCCTCGATAATCTCAGTCTCTCGCAGAATTCCCGGCCAGCGTACGCGCTTCTCCGTTCTTCGCTCTATTTACTTTTTCTCAGAGCCGAATGAGTTATCGCGTCGGAACCCCCTCGGGTTATCCTAATGAGCAGAAACGCCAATAAGCCAGTACGTCTCGACGGGGATGGTGTGTTCTTACGTCTTATTTTTAAACGGGGTGCCTGTTGACGAATTTGCGGACGCGCCGTCCGTCTGTGTCGTAAATGAAAGTATCTTCGGAAGTATCTTCATCAGCTTTTCTAGAGATGTTTAAATATAATAAATTGTTGACATTCTTACTCGCCTGATGTCAATAATTAGATGCTTTCTTTAAACATGTCAATATAGTACAGAAACGAATACTGTTTAATGTTACAACATAAAAACAAATAAGAAAGGTAAAAGATGTAAAACAATAGGCATAATTTACTTCGTAAAAGATAACGGAGTTTATTACATTAATCTTTACACAAAAAATTATATGAAAAGATATGTAGAAATCTTTATACTCTAATTTTTAAGTATACTCTAATTTTGCGTATTGCAATAAGTGTTTTATTTAAAAATAATAAATAAAAAATGTATTTGTATACTCTTCATATTTACGGATTTCTTTATTTCACTCAAATCTTTGAATATTTAAGAATGTTATTGCGAGTAATCGCGTCAAGGCGAGCATTAATCTCTCTCGCTAGCGCGGGGTCGGCAGGTCGCGAGCCCTCTCCGGAATAAAAGAGCTCGGGCGAGGCACTAGAAAGGGGGGAGGACAAGGATGAAGAAGAGGAGGCAGCAAGAAAAATTGCGCTCGATGTCGTGGAAACGGGCGAAGCCGTAAAACAAACGGTCGGACGTCGCGCCTCTTTCTCCGCGTCTAATTCTGTCTTGTCGTCTCTTCGCCGTGTATTTTCGTAGCGCGTGTCACCTAAGTGCCTTATCTGCGCGTTTTTCGAATCTCGCTGGATCTATCCTCGAGTCACGTGCCACACACCTGAACTTGCACATTTATTCATTTTGTTCCTAACGAGATACAATAATAATGAAGCTATATTTGTTATAAAGATAATTTTCAGACTAATCGGATCAAAATTTTTTAAATATAAGAAAATTGATGGATTAAAAAATTAATAAAATATAAATAAATTGAATAAAAATTTTTAAAGAGAGAGAGGGAGAGAGAGAATTTTAAGCCTCGCTTAAAGTCACCGTAACTTTGATGCAACCATGCCTTAATAAAATAGAATTTAATATTTAAATGAAATCTTATTATTTTTTTTTTATTCAATGCATCAAGACAGTTGCTTTTTTATATTTTAATTTTAATTAATAATTATTTTATATATTGATAAATATTTGATTCGATGAGATGATAATTTAGATGTTTATTTCCAATTTCCAATTTCAGCAGATCACTATAAAAATACCATAAAAGATTCTACATTCTGTCCTACATTCTAAACATCACAAATCATCCTAGATCCGTGGATCCCAAAACAACTTTTGATTCTACTCGGAGCCGAAAAGTCGACGCGATGATCCCATAGCATTCCACGGGGTTCGCTCGCTATCGCGAAAACACCGTCCGTCTTTGAGACTCTCCTCGCCGACGATCGCCATTCAAAGTTTTTACCCTCGTGGAATCCACACGAAATCCACTCTTACGTACGCGCTGGTCACATTGAAATGCAATTCGCGTTCTTCGATCAGGTCCATCAGCTCTTCGTCTTCTATCCTGCTTCCCCGTCTACTTCTCATCGCTAGATTGCCCTTCGATAAACCACTAATCTGCCCCAATCGTTTCTATCAGCACCTTCTCTACTTGCGATCAATCTTTGCTGGTCCTTCTCGTTTTGTTAACATAAGTGGAAACATTTACCGCGTACCAACGTGAGAATAATCATTCCGTGTTGAAATAGAAATCGAAAGAGAAACAAGCAGAATACTAAATGAAGAATATCGAAATGAGAGAAGTCAGTATAAGATGATCATAGAATCTGCAAGTTTAAATATTGTTGCAGAAATATTGTTGCACTTAGATTGTCAAAGATAGATTTCCCTAGAGTTTAATTGTAATTAAATGATGTACAGGAAATATATTTTCCAAGTCGCGTCTATGATAGAGAAACAGTGTTGTGAAAATATCACGCGTGTTCCTCGACCGGGAAGAGAGAAGCGATAACGACCGAAGAGAGTAGCATGAACCACGCCGCAGCCACTGTTGACAACGTAAAGGCGAACCATGTGGTCAATGTGCGTTAAACGTCTGCCGCGTAAGCATTTAACGTTCCGCCAGAATATATGGACATTCCGCGGTTATTTCGAATACGTTCCACCGACAGTTTTTACATCAGCGTAAATCACGCCCGCGTTCGACTTAGCGCGCTCGCAAGCACACAAATCGCCATCGACGATTTCTCTGTCTTTTCTATTGGGATTCTTCAATTTTGGAATAGGACGCTATTGTAGAATAATCGATATTTTGAATTATTTCATTATCAAAAAAGATTTAAATATATTTAAAAAACAAACGATTTTGTTAAAAACGATTTTGTTAAAATACCTTTAGTCAAATATATATAGGTCTCTAAACATAATTTTATTGGACTATCAAAATAATTATATAAGATTCAAGTTAGTTGCTAGAATGTAAAAATTTGTTGTAATATTGTTCATCATATTTGAGTTCTCTACATTATTTTAATAGTTAACAAAACTATTTTCATGTCCGTATCTATAGGTAAGTTTTTAAATACTTTAGCAAAATCATACTTTCTGTATAGCTATGATAATTTACCTAACAATCTAAAGACTGCTATAACTTAATCTAAGGTTTTAATTTTAATATTGAAATAAATTTGAAAAAGATAATCAGAAATTGTTATACACAGAAAAGAAGACTATTATATTTTGAGAATATTTTTATTTTCGACACATAAAGCTTGAAATAAGATTATGTAGCATTAAACCGACGTAATTTGTTTGAACTACATAAGACGTTTGAATTAGTTACACCAAAAAATAATATATTCTCATTATTCAATAATAATTTTCTAGATTTGAGAAGAAATAATATTGGATAGAAAATTACAATATTACATCTTCAAATCGAAAATTAGAATATTTTAAAATTAAAATTAAATTATTTTTATTTGATTGTACCTCTCTTACTCGTAAAAAAAGTAGTTTATACAATACTATTAAATTGTTTAATTGAAAAATTTTGTAATAACAATTCCTTAGACTTTCGAAA